TCTGGAAGAACAAGAAATCCTAAACACATCATTTAATCAATAGTACTTTTGTCACCAGAGAGGGTCCAAGGAATTCCCAAAAGAAGGGAACATCAACTTGGAACCACTCATGTTCTTTTTTATCCTGTGGTACTGGGGATCATACTCAAGGCTTCTGCCCCAGCAAGCACTCTACCTTTGAGCTACACCCTCAGCCCCACCCAGTCCTTAACATTTATTACAAAAAGAGTAGAAGGACCTGTTCTTAGGTAAAGATTTATTTAAGAACAGCAAAGGAATTCACACTCAGAAGTGTGGATGACCCTTGCCTCTCAGAGAAGATGAGTGACATGCCCAAATTTGAGTGCTCTGATGATATATATGATTTTTCAGAGGGTGGGCTGGGATCACAAACAGGTGAGCCGCTGTTAGATTTTGATGATTTGTTAAATGTTTATAAACTTTCTTGAAGATTAAGTTTCATGACAGCTAAATCCCCTAACAACCACTCTATACTTAGAGGTTAGAATTTTCTCTGTATCAGATAGCCTAGCCATTAATCATTTGTGGGCACATAGAGTAAGCACCTCAGGTGAGTGAAATTTTAATTAATCATACGTCTAATTTCTATAAGCATATGTTAAATGTTCTGTTTATCTTTAACTGATGAGCAAGCCCAACGTTATGTCATGTTTTTAGATGTCTCCTTTTATTAAGGATCTCTCCCCATGATCCCATTGTAGTTGACCTATTTCACTTTGAATCCTAGTCTTCTTCCCCAGTCTGCCTATAACTACATATTAATAACTGTCCTCAGTGGGAACAGAGGGAACTGTACTTATTCCATTTTATCTAATACTGAAACTTCTATGGATTTTTTAAATGAAAGAAATACAATATGAGTATTTGGTTTGGGGACCTAAATTTTCCCAACAATATTTTGTGATAGCACAATCTAATATGTTACCTTGCATTTAACTTGCTAGCACAATCTTAACAAGTATTGTCTTACAAAAAGTATACTTGGACTTTTGTTTCCACAAGGGCTTATATTCTTTCTCTATTCAAATGACTCTCTTTTCAAATGCCTTTCTCCCCATTATCTTTCATAATTCTCTCTTTTACTGTTGTTGAATACTAATTACACCTGATCCTCATTTGTCCATGCTTTCCACCATGATGTGAAGAGCCCCTCATTTTCCTTGACTTTAGAAACATTCCCTTATGACATATTTGCACATTTGCTTTGTTTATTTGTCCTTTTAGCTGTTTGTATCAGACAGGAAGAGACTGACGCACAACAAAAAAAAAATTGACCTGTTCAGTAGAGTGAAATGTTAAGTATGGCATACTGTTTAAATGGAGAATAAACTTTATAAATGCTTAGTTGCATGGTGAGTTTTTTTTAATATTTATTTTTTAGTTGTAGTTAGGCACAATACCTTTATTTAATTAATTTATTTATTTTTTATGTTGTGCTGAGGATGGAACCCAGGGCCTCACACATGCTAGGCGGGTGCTTTACCACTGAGCCACAACCCCAGCCTCATGGTAAATATTTTTAATGTCATGATTTTTGATTATCTTTGTGGCTTCATACATTTTTGAAGAATCATAATGATTATTTTTAATAACAAAGGCTCCTTTATAAAAAAAAAAAAAAGAACTAAAATATTGGAAAATAGAGGGCTGGGGTTGTAGCTCAGTGGTAGAGCACTTGCCTCGCATGAGTGAAACACTGGGTTTGATCCTCAGAACCACATTAAAAATAAATAAATAAAGATTGTGTGTGTCTACAACTAAAAAAAAAAAATTTAATTGGGAAATAAAGACATAGTTTCTGATTACACCCCAATCCTCTTTATTTTCATTTTTGTTTCTTTTTTGTGGCAGAGTGCACCAGGGTTGACCTACCCAAATTCCCCTTTTCAAATTTTGAGACTAGGCCTCACTAAGTTGCCATGTTTTCAACCATTTGTAAAATCTTCATAAAATCGTTTTGTTTATTTTTGCAGTCCTGGGGATCAAACCTAATTCCTGGCCCATGCTAGGCTGGTGCTGTACCACTGAGCTATACTCCCACCCCATAAAATCAGAATTGAGGAGAGCTCTTATAAACAAACATACATACTGTTTACTAGCACAGGTTGAGCATCCCTAATCCAGATTACAATATCTGAAACTTTTTTTCATGACTGTCATGATGTCAATTATAAAATTCCACACCTGACCTCAGGGTTACATGGGGTGAAGTATTTTGGTATATTGGGTCATAGGTCTCTACTGATTGGCATTGAAGAATATATAAGACATATTGTTAAATGCCAAAAGGAGGTGATAACAATGTGATAGTGATTCCATTTGTGCAAAAAACCCAAAAATCATATTGGTGTCCATATGTGTGTGTAAAAATAGCAAAATTCATGAAAGAACATCTACCAAACAGGTCACTTCTTAGGAAAAGAGTAGATGCAGAAAGAGAGATGTTAAGGGAGACTTGTACCCTTTGTAGTTTTTAGAAGATTGTTTTCTATTATTATGTGTATTACTAAATTTAACAAGGAGATTATGAATAAATAAATAATGGAATGTTGATAGTTTACTATTATTTAACCATTTAGATGCCACTCTGACAGTCAATAATTTGTGAACATTCTCTGGATTTGAAACCCTTTTTTAATCACATCAAATTCAGTTTTTTATTAGTGCTTTATAGTGATGTATAATTGTGGGTTTTATTTTGACATATAAATTTATAAGTGCATATAACCTAATTTGTTCCATTTCAATCTCCAGTATTGTACCCTTACCTCTCTACCTCCCTCCCCAACCCCTTTCCTCTATTCTATAGAACATCTGTTAATTTATTTTAAAATATGTTTTAGTTGTCAATGGACCTTTATTTTATTTATTTAACATGGTGCTGAGAATCAAACCCAATGGCTCAAACATGCTCTACCACTGAGCTACAACTATAGCCCTGTTATTTTTAATTGGCTTTTGAGATACCAGAGTGATTTTGTTTCTGTTAGTCTGTAGGACCTCGAGATCTCAGTTCCTTTTTTTTTTTTTTTTAATGTGCATGCACAAATACAAATAAAAGCCCTGGAATGTTTAAAGATTCTAGATGTTAATAATGACAAACTCTGAGAGATACCATTATACATGTTAAAAATATTTTTTATTATATAGTCTATTGTTTCTATAAGAAATAAATATTGTTATACCTAGTAGATAGTAGTTAGGGGTTTTGGTAGGAAATACTCAACACTGGAATTTATGGTGAACTTGATATTCTCATACATTGATGATGGCAGTATAACTTGAGGCATCTGTTTTGGAAAGATATTTAATATAATGTGTCAAAAGTCTGAAAATGATCATACCTTCTAAAAATGCACTGTTCAGTAACCAAGATTATGTTAAAAAATATGCTTATGAGAGCATTACTTTTAATTAGAAATTGTCTTTAATATCTTAAATTGCATTTGGTAAAATATTATGAAGATCTTAAAAATGTTCAGGAGAAAATTCTGATAAATCTAAAAGCTCCTTCTCAGCCCTTTTTCTGCAAAGGTAAATAGTACTTTTTGCTTTTACTTTTTTTGTGGTGCTGGGGATCAAACCCAGAATTAGGCCCACGCTAGCCAAGTGCTCTACAACTGAGCTACAATGTTAAACCAGAATATTTTTTTTACCTATATTGCTAAAGATTGGTTTTCCCTCTGCTTGATCTTTATATATACATTTGTGTTTTTCTCTTATTCGATTCAGTATAATATCTTTGAGATTTATATCTATCGTATATATCAGTACTTTGTTCCTGTTTTATTCCTGTTTAGTATTCCATTGCGTATCTATACAACAATTTATCCTGATTTTCTATTGATATACATTTGAGTTGTTTCTAGTTTGGAACTATTGTGAATAAAACTCTTATAAACATTTTGGTTTGTATCTTTTGGAGGACATATGCACTCATTTTTCTTGGGTAAATAATTAGCAGTAAGATTACTTCTGAGTGTGGTGGCACACACCTATAATTCCAGCGATTCAGAGCCTGAGGCAAGAGGATTCCAAATTAGAGGTGAGCCTATGCAACTTAGCAAGACCCTGTCTTAACATTAAAAAATAAAAAAGAGCTGAAGATATAACTTGGTGGTAGAGCACCACTGGGTTTTATCCCCAGAACTGAAAAAAAAAAAATTAGGATTACTATAGCGTATGGTAAATGTTTCATTTTATAAGAAACTGTCAAGCTATTTTCTAAACAGTACCAATGTACATTCCCACTAGCAATGGGCTGGAATTCCAGTTATTCCATATACTTGCCAGAATTTAATATCACTAGTCTTTAATTTTAGCTCTTCTGATGGATATATAATATTGTCACATTGTGGTTTTGTATGCTTAAGTGCTCTTAGTTTTAATGTTTATACCTTTTGAACCAATATCATTTTAAGGATGTAATCTGAAATCCAGAAAAAAATTTATATGGACAATATAAACTCTTGCTATATAGCTTAAAATAGCCAAATATTAGAAATAACAAATGTCAGATATTATCGAAGTGATTACAAAATTTTATGATAAATGCATAATGATAAAATATTCATCCATTTAAAATTATAGAGTACAATGTCAACCAAAAAAATATGTATATAAAATGGTATATACTGCAGCACAATTTTTTAAAAACTAATGTAAGGAAACACATTGAAATATTGTTAGATGGCTATATTATGTGATTCCCCACCCCATTCTTATGTATGTTTCCTACAGATCATGTGATCATTTTAGAATATCATGAAATGTAAGTAAATTTTTTTAAAGAAAATCCATATTTTATGTTCCATAATGATTTCTCTCTCCCTAATCTTTTCTACAAAGTGGAAATTTGTTTTCTTGGGTTTCTCTAAATATTTGATTTCTGCTATTGTTTTGACTCCCTACTTATAAGTTGTATGAAAAAGACTCTCTTATCATTTCTTTTTCTGACAATCTGATGTGCCAACAACCAGTCCAGGACAGAAGATAAAATAGAACGATTCAAGAAAGCAGTTGAATACTATTCAGTCACAACCAAACTCTCTTCACTGCCAGTGGGTCCCTCCTTTCTAGGTAAGGCTTCCGTCTGACCCCAGGCTGCTCTGTTCATAGGGGAAACTGTGTTGGTACATCAGGAACTCCAGGGTCAGAGTGGAATCACTTATTTGTGATTGTGCCTTCCTAGAAGTCATCACTATTTGGAAGGCATTTAATTTTGATTTTCATGTAAAACAATGAAGACCCTGCCTTCCCAAATTTATAGACGGGGAACAAAGTTATTTGCTTAGTTTAGACTGCTTCTAGTAGTAACCCACGCTGCTTTGATATAAAACAGCCCTGGCTTTGGGGTTAGGTCTGAGTTTGAATCCTACCTCTGCTGCTTACCATCTGTGTGACTTTGTAAAGTCACATTCATGATATGTAATCTATAGGGTTATTATCATATGAAATTTTTTTATTTAAGACTCCTGGCATGACACAGAGTAGCTGTTCAATTAACTAACTTTCTGTGGTGTTGGGGATCAAACCCAGGGCTTTATGCATGCTAGGCAATGGCTTAATCACTGAACCATATCCCCAGCCTGTACCTTATTTATTAATAAAAATTTTCCATGTGGTGGTGGTTTGGCAGAATATAGCATTGTAAATTTATTAGGACTGATTGAAGTACAGCCTTTTCTCTTGGCTTCAGGCTTTCGAAATAACCGTCTTGGAAATCCTCCCCTTCCACGAAATCAAATGGGCACAATTTCTGCTGGAAAGCCAATGGTAAGCATCCTTTAAGAGGCCTGAGACCTTTTGTTAGCATTGGACTCAGATTGCTTCCTGGTTTTTATTATCTGAGTTGCAGAGATAGGCTGACTCAGTGTTAGCAGAATGCCAAGATCATATATATCTGTATCACATTCTACTTTGAGGCTTTCAGACTATGAAAAGATAACACCCACATCAGTAACCATTAGGGCATTGTGAAGGTAGATTAGCTAATGTTAGGGAATGTTCTAGGTGACCTGGATTGGTTCATTGTCCTTTTTCTAGTGGATTCTGTTCATGCAGCACGGTTAGAATTATTTCTTATCATTCTCAGTAGGATGTCTCAACAGTCCCTGCTACTGGTATCATCTACTATGTCACAACTGCTGAGGGAACCATCTTGGAGCTGGTAAAATGTTAAACAGATTTTCTGTCTGTTTTGTCCTTTAGTTTTCTCACCAAGTGCCCCAGAAAATGAAATATCCACCACCATTCCCAATGGGACCCAACTCATCTCTTCTCTTCTCCCATCCTCTGGGGGATTCCCATGCTTTTTCTGAGGATCCCATGCTGCAGGACAGCCCCTTTGCCAATTGGGCTGTCTCTTATGACTCCTCTGCATCCCAGTTTCCCAATTACCTGACTTCCAAAGCTTCACCTCCTTTGGGACCAGACTCTTCCCACTCCTCCTCCTCTGATGGTGATGAGCCAAATGGAGCCAGTTCTGAGTAAGTATCTGTATAGACAACCAGGGGGAAAGACTTCAGAAGGAATGTGGGAAAGTGTATATTTTTGGCTTTTCTCTGTCATTCTTTGTTCTTTTGGCCCTCTGCAGATGATAATTTTCAGATGACCAGGCTACTGAGGTCAAAGGCAGCGTAGCAGTTGGTTAGTGAAATCCTGATATGGATGTGCTTTATAACTTGTCTGTCATTTCTCCGTTTATGAGGGGGATAGTTTGAATGTAAAAAAAGAAAAATAATGTATAGAGTTGAAGTGATAGAACAGTTGAGTCGGCAGTTATATTGTTTAGCAACTGAGACAGGGTTCTGGTCCTAGCTCACTTTTTAAAGATTATTCCTCTAAACAGATTTTTCTTGGGAAGCAGAACTATTTTGAGACTGCAGTTATAATTATTTTCTTAGAATATAAGCAGATTCTTAGCATGGCCTTTTTTTTAAGATATAAAGGCTTCAGAGTGATTCCCATGACTTTTGATTGCTTTGGTTTGTGTCAGGTGAAAGAATCCAGGAAGGCAGTGATGGCCACTGAGAGGAAAGGTATCATCTCCAGTGCTAACCCAGTGTCTGGACCTCCAGAGGGTTTGCGAGATTCCTTGGGATCACAGTAGCCATCTTGAGTGGAAGTATCTTTAGCTTCCCTTTTCTGTTCTACACTGTCTTTCTAAATTTTTCAGTCACATCACAGAAACTCTTCAGCAGCAGCCTGGTTGGGAAGATCCCAATGGTGACAGAGGGTCTTGGGTACAGCCTGTGGATGCTGGAGTTTCAGAAGCCAGCCTAGGTGATGGTGAGCCTCACATCCCATCTCTGCTGTCTATGTCTACAAGGAACCACATGGACATCACAATTCCACCCTTACCACCAGTAGCTCCAGAAGTCTTGCGGGTTGCTGAACACAGACATCGAAGGGGTCTTATGTATCCATATATCTATCACGTCCTCACTAAGGTGAGACAGCAGATACCTCCCTTCTATTAAGAATACTTTATATTTCCTAGGACTATAAGTTATCAGAAAAAAAAAGTCTGATGATTGGTGTTTGAAAAAAGATAAAGAAGACCAAGTGTGCTGGTGTTCCTCCCCATATTAAGGGCCCCAAATGAGTCAGGACCAGCCAGAGATAGGACTGTACAGTAAATGATGTGCCTAAAAGTGAAGTATAATTCTGAGATTTTGCATGACCATGCACCAAGTTGGTGGACGTTTTCTAGGGATAGGCAGTCTAAGAAGAGGCTTTGTGCCATTGTTCCTTATGCTTTCCTCTATTGCATAGCTGTTCCCCTCCTCTGGTCTTACCATACAAATCCATCCACCAGCAAATTGTCTAAGACTTTCCCCATTAATCAGCTGACGTCAATCATAGGTGAGACCTCCAAAATGGAATATAGCTTATAAATTGACTTGTTAGCTGGGCTTCTTACAACTTTTTAAATCTGAAACTCTGCATACAAACAGAAAATTTAGTGGCTGGGCTGTAGAGGCTACAGTTCATTGTTGGTTCTTCTCAGTTTGGTTTCAAATCTTGAAAGTACTCATTTTCTCCTTTCCCTTGCACCTTTCTCTAGGGTGAAATTAAGATTCCCGTATGTATTGAGGATGAGTGTAACATGGAGTTACCTCCAGCTGCTCTCCTGTTCAGGTCAGCTCGTCAATATGTATATGGAGTCCTTTTTAGTTTGGCAGAGACACAGCGGAAAATGGAACGCCTGGCCATACGGCGGAGGCTACCTGTGGAAGGTAAGTGTAACTAGATCTAGCTTTGACATCTCTCAATGCTTGACACAACAAAGAAAAAAAGATATATATGCAGACACATCATACAGGCTATGCAGTCTTTAAGAAAATGTGTCATTCATCAGTCACAGTTGTTCACGCCTGTAATCCCAGTGGCTCAGGAGGCTGAGGCAGGAGGATCATGAGTTAGGTCAAAGCCAGCCTCAGCAATGGCAAGGCACTAAGCAACTCAGGGAGACCCTGTCTCTAAATAAAATACAAAATATGGCCAGGGGTGTGGCTCAGTGGTTGAGTGCCCCTGAGTTTAATCCCCGGTATCCCCTAAGAAAAAATGCATCATTCATGAGAATATGTATCAATATGAGAAGCACATTAATGTAATAGCCCCAAATCTGCAATTATTAAACATTCGGAATGACTGCTGCTTATAAGAACCATGCTGGGCTTTGAGAATATGGAATTGTATCTGACACAGTCTTGCCTCCTCAGAAGGGTGTAGTTTGGGGATTTGAACCTGTGCTTAGGTGAAACCATTGGGGTGTTTCAAGCTACAGAGTAATATGGTCAAATCATTCAAAAAAATACTGTAAATTTCTGCTTCCATGAAGATAGATTGGATGTAGTTTTTCTATTCTTGCTGCTAAGTACAACTAACCCCAGGACACATATAAAACAAGTATAAGATATTCTAGATGGTGGGGAGAAGGCAGACTGGCTGATAACCTTGAGGCACAAGGAATGATGCAGTGGTGCACTAGTGAGTGCCCTGGGTTTTCTTTTTGCCTCACATATCCCAGTCTGGGTGAGGAGCAGCAAGCTGGCAAATGGCCCAGAAATGTCAACAGCTGCAGACCAATAAAAGCCTCCAAAAAGCTGGCTTTCTGTGGTCAAAGGAAGAGAACAAACATCCTAGCAACATAGAAAAATTTTAGGTAATAACCACTGTACTCCAGCCATAATCCATAGCATACACACACACACACACACACACACACACACACCCACACACACCCAGAAAAGGCCTTATGAAGAGAGCCTAGACATTCATCCTTACCAGGGTATAATGAGGTGCCTTACCTGCTGCTGCTGGGGAGTATCAAATAAGGTTAAGCATGGACTGCAACTTTCCACTCCCACCTGGCAGTAATGAAATTGTGTCCTCCTTTACCAGTAGTGGTCAGAAAAGTCCTGCTAAAACACAATATTTAAATAAAATCCAGAATCTTTCAAAACATTCAGCTTTTGCCGGGCACAATGGCACATACTTACAATCCCAGTGACTCAGGAGACTGAGACAGGAGGATCACGAGTTCAGAGCCAGCCTCAGTAATGGTGAGGTACTAAGCTACTCATTGAGACACTGTCTTTAATTAAAAAAAAAAAAAAAAAAGGACTGGGGATGTGGCTCAGTGGTTGAGTGCCCCAGAATTCAATCCCCAGTACACCCCCTCCCCAAAATACAACAAATGTTCAGTTTTCAATTGAAAATTCCTCATCATGCCAAGAACTAGGAAGGTTTCAAATTCAAATGATCTCAAAGTGACTAAGAATAAAGTGACTACCAAGATGATAAAAGTCTGGATTATCTGAAAAGGATTTCAAAGCAGCCATCAATAAAATGTTTTTAACAAACAATTATAAATATGCTTGAAATAAACTAAAAATAGAAATTCTAAGCAAAGAAATAGAAGATTTAAAGAAAAGCCAAATGGAAATTAAGAACTAAAAATATATAATTAGCAAAATAAAACACTCAATGGATGGATTAAATCTTAGGTAAGAGATAAAAGAGGAAGAAATCAGTGAACTTGAAGGTAGAACAATAGAAATCACATAGTCTAAAAGAACAGAGAAAATAGACAGGAAAAATTAAGCATAACAGAAGATTTGATATTGGTATCATCAAAGTCTCAGAAGGCGAAAAGAAAGAGGATGAAAAATGCAGAAGTGTTCAAGAATAATGGCTGGGCTGTACTTAAATTTGGCAAAAATTTAAATCTACGTATTTAAAAAAACTGCATTAATCACAAGGCAGTAAGGAAATCCGTGTCAAGATAGATCATGGTCAAAGTTTTCAAAAGTAGACAAAACTTACTGAAAGTAGCCACACAAAAATGGTGCTTATTGGGGAAAAATAATGCAAATAACAGCTGATCTCTAATTAGAAGCATTGCAATCCAGAAGAAAGCAGCACAGTATTTACTGAAAGAATTGTCAACTCAGAATTCATTATCAAATAAGAAAATTCTCTAATAATTAAATTATGACATTTTTCAGTTGAAGGAAAACAAAGATAATTTTTCATAAGCAGAACTACCCTAAAAGAGTGGCTAAAGGTAGTTCTTTTCATAGGAAGAAAATGATAAACTAAGGAATCATGAAGCATCAGGAAGGAAGAAAAAAACAGTGGAAAGAACAAAAGAATACATAAGTACAATAGACTTGCTGCCTTGAGTTTCTAAATTATGTTTCACATTGAAGCAAAAATCACAACAGTGTTTAATGTGGTTCTCTATTTAGAGAAAATATTTTAGACAATTATAAATAGGGTAGTGTAAAGAAATATAACATAGGTCAGGTTTCTACATTTCACTTGAACTGATAAAATTTCAATACCAGTATGCATAAATTGTGCATATAATTTATTTATAAGTATTTGGAATTCAACCCTGGTCCTCAGGCATTCTAAACATGTGCTCTACCACTGAACCATATCCCCAGTCTCCCTTTGTATATTTTTTAAATGCATGTTCTAGGTATTAAATACATAATGAGAGTGTGGTACAGTATGTGCCTAGCATTCATGAGGCCTTAGGTTCAATCCCTAGCACCCCAAAAATTATACAAAAACAGTTGTTCTCAAAAACACTATAGATAGGGGCTGGGGTTGTGGCTTAGCTGTAGAGCGCTCGCCTAGCACGTGCAGGGCACCAGGTTCCATCCTTAGCACCACATAAAAATAAAAATGAAGGTATTGTGTCCAACTACAACTAAAAAAATATTTAAGAAACAACACTATTGAAAAATCAAAATAGAATCATAAAATTAGTTGAAATAATCCACAAGAAGAGAAAAATAAGAAAACAAAAGAAATGCTTAAATAAAACTAACATGATAGACTTACTCTCTAATATATCTATAATTTTATTAACTATATAAAGTCTAACTATGCCATTTAAAATGCAGATTGGTAGACTAGATAAATACTAGCCCAAGTAAATCTACTAAAGATTTACTTCAAATATAAATGTTTCAGTTGGTTGAATGTAAAAGGAAGGAAAATGAAACACATGCAAACCTTAATCAAAAGAAAGCAGGAACAGCTATATTAATCCCACATGTAGTAGATTTCTAAGAAAAGAATGTTGCCAGAGACAGAAAGAGACATTATATAATGATAAAAGTGTCATTCTACCAAGAAGATAAAGCAATCCTGAATGTGTCACCAAATAATATAGCCACAAAGTATATGATATAGTAACTGATAGAACTAAAGGAGAAATAGACAAACCCATAATTATAGAAACTTCAACTGCCCTTTCAATAATGGGCAGAATCACTAGACAGAAGATCAGAAAAGCCACATAACCAGTGAGCAGGATCTGGTCAACTCTTAAAGAACATCCAACAAGAGGACAATATACAATATTTTCATGCAGCCCAGCCACAGAGCATATTGATCATATCCTTGGAAATGATCTATCCATGATAGATCATATCCTTGGAAATAAAACAAACCTCAGTAAATTTAAAAGAATTGAAATCATACAGAATATATTCTCAAACTTCTGTGGAATTGAATTAGAAATCAAAAACAAACATAAAATCTGCAAATATTTTGAAAATAACAAAGCATGTGTATATAATCTTGAGGAAAAGTCTCAAGGGAAAGAAAGGCAGAACTGAATGAAAAATAAATACCAGTCCTCCTCAACTTAAGATGGGCCTGTGTCCTGATAAACTTACCATAAGTTGAAAATATGTATACATGGAAATGTCACAGTGGAACTCATTAACTTGTGTAATTAATATGTGTTAACAATAAAAAATAAAAAGCATTTAATATGCCTAACCTAGTGACCATCACAGCTTAGCAACATAGCACAGTGTAGAGTATCAGTAGTTTTTCTTCATGACCGACCACATGGCTGACTGGGAGTTATGGCTCACTACTACTGCTCAGCATCAAAGAGAGTTTTGGACTGCATAGCTCACCTGGGAGAAGATCAACATTTAAAATATGGTTTCTATTGAATGTATATTAACTTTTTAACTATCATAAAGTCAAAGTAACATAAATTGAAAAATTATAAGTTGGGGACCATCTGTACAACATAGTAAAATTTGTGGAACAGAGCTAAACCATTGCTGAAAGGAGAAATTAATACCACTAAATGCTTACATTAATAAAGAAGAAGCCAGGTATGGTAACACATGTATATAATCCCAGCTATTTGAGAGGCTGAGGCAAATTCAAGGCCAACCTCAAAAACTTAGACCCCCATCTCAAAATTAAATTTTAAAAAGTCTGGGGCCAGTAGTATTGGGCCCAGTAGTATTGTGTTTGCCTAACACACGTGAGACTCTGGGTCCATACCCAATTCATTCAAAACAAAACAAATCCGAAAGAAGAGCCTCTAATCAGTACTCTAAAATTTTATTTCAAGATATGAGAAGACGTTAACCTGGGCCACCCTGGGGGTGAGAAGCCTGCCAGGCTTGGGGTAGCTACATACTGTGAGGAATTGTGCAGGGGGAATGGGGGTACATGTGGGGAAAGCCTGGACCACAAAGTGGAAGGGCCTTTCTCCCTCCCTCCCACCCTTCTTTATCAGTAGGCCTCAAATCTATAGCAGCTGCCTTAGGCCCAGTAGAGGGCAGCACCTAGCCATGCATCCTGATCCTTTTCCAGGGGGTTTGAGGCCTATCAACCTGGGACCCTGGAAGAAGGCATCACCCAAGTTCATTGGGTGGGGGGAGGAAAACTCAGGTATGCCCAGCTT